CGGGGGGGGGTTTAAATAAAAAAAAAACTAGGGGAAACAGGGGGCTTTAGTTTATCGCTAAAGGGGGTTCATTAATGACAAATTTCTCTTGGAAGTTGAAAAAGAAGCAATATATCATAATTGTCAGGGTGTAAAATATTATTGTCATTTTGTGTATTTGATATATATTTGCTTTGACACAACTGGATAAAAAGGAAAGGATGAATAACGATTTATTTAGTTGTTGCATCTGGTTTTTTAAGCTGATTCTAACACCTTTTATTGTCAGAAATTCCGGCTGTCATTAGACCTAAACCCACTTTCCTTGATAACTTACGAGTAATTACCAATTCCTCTGCTTTAAAGAGACTAATAATCCCGCAAGATTTTTGAATCAACAATGAGAGACAAATGACCTTTAGACTCAATGTTCAAATCAAGATCATTTTTCAAAGAGAAATTTTGCCCCCCCCCCCCCCCCCCCCCAACAAAGTTTTTAAACAAGCGACCCCTGGTGATCTCCTATTGAGCTTCGTAGATGATTGACATAGTAAGACACTTTTTAAACAAGGGTTTAAATTTTAAGAATAATAACACAGCTTTTTGGCTATTTTCAAAATTACATCAACTTTAAGCAGGAAAACATATTCTGGAAATGCTTCCAGAAAATAACATACAACCTGTATCATACAGCTGATATAAAGATAACTCTTTTTATATTTAAACAATTTGTTTACTCACTTAACCTGCTGGAACTGAAAATGATAAAAACCTGCCCTTCTCTGTGCATTCTGACTAGGATCTATACTGCTATCAGCTCAATTGTTTTGGTATTTCATATAAAAAATCCCTTTAAATTCAAAATGGACTGGTCCAAATTCAAAGCAGGGTAAGTCCATTACACAAATTCAGTGGGTTATGGGTTGAGTAAAGACATACCTGTATTCAGAGAGAACATCAAGCAATGTTTCAGCAAGCCATACGTTTTTTGGTGTTATATCTCCTCCTGTAATCAAATAAAACAAACAGTATACATAATAACACATGATAACTAAAAAATTTATACCCTTATGAGAATTAGCATAATTACTTTTTATGATATTACAGTAATCATCTACAGTACCATAGTACATATTAAGTAAAAACAATGTTTGTTTGAAAATAGAGGTGTAATTTATGTCCCCGTTGACAGGGTAAAAATACCCTAGTGTTGACAAAGACTGAAAGTGTAAGCAAGACTGACAGTGTAAAGAAATGACTGACAGTGTAAGCAAATAACAGACAGTGTAAGGAAATGTAAGCTAATGACTGACAGGGTAAGTAAGTGGCTGACGGTGTAAGTCATAACTAACACTGAACAGTGTAAGCAAATAACTGACAGTGCAAGGGAATGACTGACAAGGTAAGTAAGTGACCAAAAGTGTAAACAACTGAATGACAGCGTTACACATGACTGACAGTGGTAAAAATTGACTGACAGCATTGATAATTGACAAAATGTTTTAAATTTGACCGACAAGTGTTTAATTTGACTGCATTAAAATTGACAGACAGTGATACAACTGAAAGTGGTAAAAATTGACTGACAGTATGAACAATTAAATAACAGTATTACTATTCAGTCCTATGAGAATTGTGTTAAGCATTAAGCCCTCTCACCTGCTATTTGTCTCATTAAGCCATTCACTGCTAAATCAGCTCCTGTCACTGAATTTTTCACCATTTCTCGCACCAGCCACAGTATCTGAGCCCTCCCAATGTCCTTTAACTTCAACCATTTCTCATATATCAACTGATTCAATCTATTTAACACTGTATTAAAACCATCCCTATTCACTAAATGAATATCTCTGTAATTCTGAAAACAAATGACAAATTATTTAGCTATGATTACCGACGACTAATAATGTCACAAAAACTGAAATGACATAAGTTTGTTAAAATTAATCCAGATTATGTCATTACAGGGAATCCACTGAGGTTTCTTGACATGACATACCTGGAAATATTTCCCATGAGATTTGTGTCCCATTTAATGTATTTCTGGATAAATAACAAGTGTGCAAATTTTCTTATCATTCCCTCAACCTGTTTTCCAGAATAATCATTTTATTGAGCAAAATGACCCAAAACTGTAAAGCAACTGTTACAATGCTTTTCACTAAAATCGGGCTAAGAATTGCACAGAAGTTCAATATTCAACTTAAAACTGAGTGTATTTCTTTTGTATCTTATTTCTCCATTTTAAGTGATTTACTTGATCTATGTAAGAATTCCAAACTTTATGCTTTTAAGCTTTTTGACCTCAGTGGAGCTCCTTAATTGTGTAAGGACTACTAAGGAGTTATACAAATTAAAGTATTCTTAAAGCAAACCTTCTGTGCCAGTGTAGGATTAGGAGCTGTCAGTATAGCATAGAACAATCCAAGTTGAACCTCCTCATGATTCTGTGAACCTTTGCATACCTGCAACATGAATAGGGAAATTCGTACAAAGTAATATTATCATGTTATATAATTTTCTAAGACATTGATATACATGTATGCAATGCAATTTTTATCTTTAAATTTGATGAAAATTAAAAGCCTTTTCATTGTTCAACAAGAGCCATCTACTTATATAATAGATCTTATGAAAGAAAATTCAGCTATTTATAGATCTTAAATAACTTACGTATGTGTTGAGAGCATCATTAGCCTCCCTTTCCGACAAACCATTGACCAATGAATTCACTATACCATAACATCTTTCCAACTTCTGCAATAAATTCAACACAAACAATTCAATTCAAAGTAACAATCTGTGCCAGAAAACAGAAATTTAAATTCAAAAATATTTAACAGAGGTATGGATACACTAGATATGACTTGGAGCAATTATCTCAACTTATATGACTATTTTATCACTAGTAGTGTTTATGAAAATAAAAAGTGCTCCTCTATTTGAAAAACAATTTCAATAAGATAAACTATCAATGTAACTGGATTCATGACAAGTACACTTACAGATCCAACACTTTTCCAAACTAAAACTAGGCTTGTATCATAGTTTGGGGACCTTTCTCTTGAAAATGTGTCAGAGATAAATCGTATATTTATACATGCACAGTGCGTTAACTGGAGTGCAGGTATAAGTTACCCGCACTCCAGAGAATGCCCATTGATTGGTTCATTTTGTCTTGGGTTTACATATTGTGACGACGGGGAAAGGGAAAGCGATAGAAATATCATATTCAGTTGCTCGTTCATTGGTTCCTTTTTCTCTGGGGTTTCATATTGTGACATCAGGGAACGTGTTTTTATTTTTGACTATGATACAAAAGAGAAAGAACATCAAAACACTCGGTAATCTGATTTATACTCGGGGGCTACGCCCCCTCGTACAAATCAGATAGCCTCGTGTTTCGGTGCTCTTTCTATTACTTGTATCATAGTTTGGAGACCTTTCTGTTGAAAATGTGTCAGGGTTAAATCGTATACATATACATGCACAGTGCGTTAACTGGAGTGAGGGTATTAGTTACCCGCACTCCAGAGCATGCCCATTGATTGGCTCATTTTTGCTGGGGTTTACATAGTGTGACGGCAGAGAAAGGGAAAGCGACAGAAATGTCATATTCAGATGTTCGTTCATTGGTTCATTTTTGCCGGGGTTTCATATTGTGACAACAGGGAACGTGCTTTTATGTTTGACTATGATACAAAAGAGAAAGAACACCAAAACACTCGGCAATCTGATTAATACTCGGGGGCTACACCCCCTCGTACAAATCAGATAGCCTCGTGTTTCGGTGCTCTTTCTATTACTTATTTAAACACATCAACATCATGTTTTCTTTAAAGTTTCCATGTGTTGCATTAAGTAAGCCGCACTTACAGACTTCTAACATGACAATTCCGCTAAACATATCTTACATGTTCCTTTGACAGATCCCTTACCTTCGCTAAACCAAAAATGTTTCGGTACCCGTTATATAAGTTTTGTTTGAGGATTTTTTAGATTTCTTTTTTCTTTTTTTCAACATTGATGTTTGAAGCCATTTTGATTTCTTTATTGAAAATACAACACTACACACTCACTCATTGGATGACAGAGTTAATATACACCCATAAACACTTTCAATATGATCTACGTAAATAACCGAGGTATATCGAGTGATAATACGAGTTACTTCCCTTATCTTCGAGTAAAATCGATACCGCTTATGCTAAAACAATACAAAATAAGCCGTTTTTAAACCGCTTGTTTGTTGTGATTCAATGTCTGATTTTAAAATGTATTACACCAATAGAAAGCTTTGGATCTTAGCTTCATCACAGTATAAACTTCAACATATCTTTTGACTCCAAAGTATTTAAATTAACTGTTAAACCTACCATATGTCAGACCATTTTACATACGATTTATACGCAATCGTTATCTTTACTCGAAATACTACTGATAAGAATAGCCTGTCGTCTGCTAGCTCTGAAAGTGTTTATCGGTGTATTAACCATTTGTATTTAATGTAATTAACAGATTAAGTGGCAGACTATCTACCTATCTCTGGATACTGCCAACCCCTCTTACGAGTGTTAAAGGCAGGAATTTAGTGCACGTCGGATTGTTAGTAAAAGGTGAAGAGAAAAGCTAAAAAGAAAAGTCCAAACATTGACATGCTTGGAAGGTGAGACTGAAAATGTATTCTAGTCCTGGTTAAAATGTTAATAGTGAAACAAGATGATAAGAGATAAAATAGTTTAAAAACACTGGGAGTAAGACTAGTACTGCAAACCCACCACTGCCTGTTTGAACTGACTCAGGTTGGGCAGGGTGGCAATGTTACTAGGAAGTTTATTCCATAGTATAATGCTATGAGGGAAGAAAGAGTACTTATGGTAGTCGGAGGATACCTGTATTTGACGTAGGGATAAGGGATGCATATGTCTGGTTAATCTATGTGGGGTTTGAACATAAGTTGGGAGATTAATTGCAACTAGGTTATGGTATATCTTATAAAACATTATCAGTCTACAGTCCAGTCTGCGATGTTCAAGGGATCGCCAGCCCAGTTCTTCCTGCATGGCTGTGACACTAGAGTGAGGGGAGTAATCCCTTTTAACCCATCTCATTGCATGTCTCTGGATCATCTCAACTTTGTCAATATTGGTTTTAGTATAAGGAGACCAAATAGATGAGGCATATTCAACCTGTGGGCGGACCAGGGACTTATATGCTAGTTCTTTTACGTTCTCATTTTTAGTGATGACATTTCTTTTAATAAAGCCAAGGGATCTGTTTGCATTGGAAGTTATTCGAGATATATGTGTATTAAATTTAAGGTCAGCAGATAGATCTAGTCCGAGATATTTAGTCACAGATTGAGGGAGGGACTAAACTCATACTTTTTCCATGTTTATTTTTGGGTCTTTATCAAAATTTTTATAGTTAATATCGGAAATCGAACTGGCACCCACAAAACCAGTTTTCGATGCATCAGAATGAATCATTGCACCCTTAGATTTTAACTAAGAACTAAAGCTTAGCCTAGTATTACCTCTTCCAATTCATCCTTAAGCTCATAAACATTAGCTACAAGAAGTCCTCCTTTGTTGCCACTATCCATATCTTCATAACAAAAAAGTTTTTACATATACTCAATACAACATGTGAATTCTACATTGTTGACAGTTTTAATGATCTATTTTTAGTAACAACATCCGGTTACATTGCCGCCATCTTTTTTGTTATTCCAGAAGAAAAATTAATCTGATAACAATATCATGGGCTTTGAAGCAATAATTTTTAAATATGCCACAGAAAAAAGTAAAAGAACCAAGTAGACACTATCTCTGATAACAAATATAATCGCAATTATTTTAAATCAAGGAATTAATTGCGTGCAGTATTTGCTGTCTTGCTCTTGCCACAAATTGACATTAAATATGAAGATGTCGTAAAAATATTGACCAATTTTTTTCTAAATGGAAATATACACATTTTGTATCAACATAATGCATCAAATTAAATGCTTAACAAGATATGTTACTAGGTCTGTTGAAATATAAAAATACCATACTAGCTGTCTTTTACGACATTCACGTCTGCCCATGTGCTGATGCAACCGGTCTGTTAGACTTGGACTTAGTCGTTAGTATATAAATACCTGGTTTGAGCGTAATACTTGCATCATTATTCATTAATTGTTGATAGTATCATGACTGAGGTATCAGACGAAGTACAAAAGATGAGTCTAGGTATGTAATTTTGTTAATTTAAAAAAAAAACATCTGGGTTAAATCTTGACATTTTATTTTCTTTTGTTGACAGCTGTCTAGCATAGGCACTTGGTTTCGGGATAAAAAGCCTTTTAGAGGTTTGTAGAACTCAAATTTGATTGAATGTAACGATTTTTTTTAACGTAGATGTCTCTTTCCTAAAACCGTCATTTTTCCGATATTACTAAAAATCGGAAAAATGACGGTTTTAGAAAAGAGACATCTACGTTAAAAAAATTGTAACATTCAATTATATTTGAGTTCTACAAACCTCTCAAAGGGTTATTTTATCCCGAAACCAAGTGCCTATGCTGTCTAGTGTCTACTGCAAGAGAATTTTGAGATGTATTTGACCATTTATCTCATGCATACGTCGTCTGTATTATGTGGCAGTTCTACAGGGTATTTCCTTTCAGTCATTTCTGATGTGAATGTGGTCAAAAAATTTACTGGAAAGAAAAATATAACAAAATAACAAAAACTGAAAAAGGTTAATCTAACTGATTTGAAGTATAGATCTATTTATCTTCCACCAATGTCCAACCTCGCTGGGATGTAGACATGTCTGCACGTCAAAATGGAACGAAAGATAAAGAGTTGTTTGAAAAGAGGATAAAAGAATATTAAAAATTGTAAAATAAGGGGCATAAAAATGTTAAAAACGGGACAAGAATACCAAATTTAGAGAAACATTTTTTCCTTGATGAGCAGAGCACCAAACATCCTCCACATACTGCAAAATCATTGTTATTTGTGGGGCGCTAATTTTAGTGGATATGTCAATCCAAGAACTAAGAAGTTACTCATTATTTACATTTTACCTTTTGGAAAAATAAACAGTCCATGAATTTAAGTAGCCACAAGTAATTGAAGTATGTTCTTTGTGAAAAAAACTACGAAATAAGTCTGGAAGACTAACAATCTTAATCTAAAATCAATGTGATACTAATAGTTGCAGCGTAAGTTCTCAAAGTCTGTCCGTGGCCTAGTGGTTAAGGTCGTTGACTTCAAACCACTTGCCCCTTACCGCTGTGGGTAGGGATCCCAACAGGGACTTTGGATTCATTCATGTGAGGAAGCTATCCAGCTAGATTACGGAACGTCGGTGGTTCTACTCAGGTGCCCGTTCGTGCCTGAAATAATGAACGGAAGGGCACCTGAGGTCTTCCTTGGAACGTTGCGATATGACCTATACTGTGTCGATGTGACGTAAAACCCAAAACAAACAAATAAAAGTCTGTCATAGTCAAATTGAAATGTCCAAACATGACAGTCATTGCATTGACTTGCAGAATTTTTTTTATGCCACCGCAGCATCTGCGATGCGGTGGCATATAGCGATTCACGGAATCAGCTGTGTGTGTGTTTGTGTGTGTGTTTGTTTGTGTGTGTGTGTGTGTTCTATAGATTAAAAAATCTTCTTGTGAAAAACCACTAGTCCAATTTCAACCAAACTTTGCAGGATTGATCCTTGCGTAAAGGGCTTCCAAAGTTGTTCAAAGAATTTCATTCCATGCAGAAATCTGGTGGCCATGGCAACCAAAAGGTATTATATGAATAAATTAAAAAAAATCTTCTTGTAAAGACCCAAAAGGCCTAGAGCTTAGATATTTTGCATAAGTCATTGTCTGGTAGACCTCTACCAAGATTGTTCAAATTATAGCCCTGGGGTCAAAATCGGCCCGCCCCGGTGGTCATTGATTTTCACTATATGTACATATAGTAAAAACTTGAAATACCTTCTTGTAAAGACCCAAAAGGCCTAGAGCTTAGATATTTTGCATAAGGCATTGTCTGGTAGACCCTTACCAAGATTGTTCAAATTATAGCCCTGGGGTCAAAATCGGCCCGCCCCGAGGTCATTGATTTTCACTATATGTACATATAGTAAAAACTTAAAAAACTTCTTGTAAAGACCCAAAAGGCCTAGAGCTTAGATATTTTGCAAAAGGCCTTGTCTGGTAGACCACTACCAAGATTGTTCAAATCATAGCCCTGGGGTCAAAATTGGCCCCACCCCGGGGTCATTGGTTTTCCTTATATGTATATAGCAAAAACTTATAGTAAAAACTTTAAAAAAACAGGCCTAGACATTAATTTTTGAATCAGGTTGCCCTGTCGGGCAAGTAGTTTTTAAAACTACTTGCCCTGACCTAAGACTTACTTGTCCTGACCTAAAAATGGTAAAAATGTATAAATCAGAAAAACAAACAAGCTCATACATTATTAAATACTTCTTGTATTAGGTAATAAACTGGACATATTGTTTATGAAATTGATTGTTAGTTAGACACAAATATTTTTTGTATTTAGTAGTTTTTCTAAAACATGGGTTCATCTGTTTATTCAATGTGAATATACTACGGTCATGTACATTTGTTGATATAGGAAACGGAAGGAAAAATATGAGCATGCGCCGCGGTAAGGTAATTCCCCGTTCAATCATCAAGTCAACAGCCGTAAACGAGTCTTCGTTGTGTTCATAATGTTGTTATATTAGATTAAACAATAAATCATTTTAAATGCAAAAACTTTATTTAACAATTATATTTAAAGATCAATATGATTATTTACATATTTTCAATGATATCTTTACATGCAAACATCAAAATTTAAACAACAGCTAACCCGGGAATTACCTTGTACAAAATTAGATATAGTCTATTATTAGAACGGGGAATTACCTTACCGCGGCGCATGCTCATATTTTTCCTTCCGTTTCCTATATCAACAAATGTACATGACCGTAGTATATTCACATTATTGATAATGATTCATGGTGTATTTTGTTTTAAAGATGTTTATAAATGAAAAGATGTTATTTCTATTCATTTTGTATATGCATTTTGTCAATGATGCTTTTTATTTTCACTTGCCCTGTCGGACAAGTGCTTTTCAAAATAACTTGCCCGGACCAAACTTTTAGTTGTCCCGGGCAGTCGGACAACCGTTAATGTCGAGCCCTGAAAAAATTCTTCTAGCAATTGACAAATGCTAGAGGTTAGATATTTTGCATGAAAAATTATGAAGTGAACCTCTAGCAAGATTGTTCAAATTATAGCCCTGGGGTCAAAATTGCCCCCGTCCCAGGGGTCATTGATTTTCAATATATACATATACTAAAAAATCAAAAAATCTTATTGTCAGACTGAAGGTACAAGGTTTAGAGCTTTAATATTTGTTAAATGATATCATCTATAGGTACTCTACCAAAGTTGTTCAAATTTTGCTTCTAGTGTCAAAAATAGCCCCGCCCTGGGGGCCATAGCTTTTTCTTATATGTATATAGTAAAAACTTAAAAAATCATCTTCTCTAAATATACAAAGGCTAGAGTTAAGATATTTTGCATGAAACATTGTGTAATGAACCTCTAGCAAGCTTGTACAAATTATAGCCCTGGGGTCAAAATTGGCCCCACCCCCAGGGGTCATTGATTTTCACTATGTACATATAGTAAAAAATTAAAAAATCTTCTTGTCTGAAGGTACAAGGCTTAGAGCTTTGATATTTGGTATAAAATTTCATCTATGGGTCCTCTACTAAAGTTGTTTTAATTATGCCCCTAGTGTTAAAATTGCCCTGTCCCAGAGGCGATAGTTTTCCTTATATGTATAAAGTAAAATCTTGAAAAATCTTCTTCTCTGAATTGACAAAGGCTAGAGGTTAAATATATGGCATGACACTTTGCAAAGTGAAAGTTTACCAAGATTGTTCAAATTATAGCCCTGGGGTCAAAATTGGTTCATTGATTTTCATTATGTACATATGGTAAAAAAATAAAACATATTTTTGTCTGAAGGTACAAGGCATATGCCTTTGATCTTTGCTATATAATATCATCTATAGGTCCTCTACCAAAGTTGTTCAAATTTTTTCCTGGGTGTCAAAATTGGCCCTGTCTGGGGGCAGTTATTCTCTTTATGTACACATAGTAAAAACAGAAAATAAAACAAATGTTTTCTGAATGAGAGAAAGCTACAGCTTAGATATTTGACTTGAAATGTTGTTTGGTGGACCTGTATCATGATTGTTTTGAATTAAACCCTTGGGTCAAAATTTTACCTTTCCCAAGGGGACAGTGACCTACTTTCTTGTCCTTTGATGTACAACAATGAAAATTTGACCAAGTGCACAGTTTTAGTTGTAAAATTGAACTTTGATATCAGGTGACCTAGATTTTGATGATGTGACCTACTTTCTTGTCCTTTGATGTACAGCTATGAAATTTGAACCATGTGCACAGATTAAGATGTAAAGTGAACTTTGATATCAGCTGGCCTAGATTTTGACAAAGTGTCTTACTGTTTTGTCCTTTGATGTAGTCATGAAATTTAGCTTGTGTGAAATATGACCTTTACCACCAAATTCACTAGACTCGAGTGCATTGATATATTCCTACTCTGATCTTTTATTGGATTTACAATAGATTTAACCACTAATCTGATAATAAGAATTAGATAGGTCAGGAATCTATGCATTATGACTATCTTCAATTGCAAAGAAACAAAAAAAATCTGTTCCTACACTACTATTTAGTGTTGTATTAATGCGGTGGCATAGCATTTTTCTCAAATGCAATCTTGTTTTAATTTAACCCTGATTTTGATCATTAAATTTTAGTGAACATTTTAGGACCAAGCATCCAAATGCTAATTTGCTGTTATACAATATATCTGGAAAATATTCCTCAACTATGAATGAGATAGGTCAGGGTAACCGTTATTTTCCAGGATTTTGGGAACATAACCCATACCCATGGAATTTGGAACTTCAGCGATGTTTTGTTAAAAATTGGCGAAAAAAATGCATGAAATAAATTTTGCAAAGATTAAATGAATGCAAAGAATGTCTAGGATGGCATCTTCAAACATTTCAGCACCATAACAGTGAAGAGGCCCTTATTTTCAAAATTTTTAGAATTGTTATTCAATATTTTTATTTTGTAACTTCTAATTGGGAATTTTTTCCTGTGGATAGGGAAAATAATATACTTTTTCTATTGAAAATATGACCAAATATCGGCAAAGTAATATATTGTGCAATATACAAGTTTACAACATGAAAGACAATCAGTGTTTCCTACTGACTCTAGGGCAAAAAAACTGGCGATCAATTCCCCTATACTAAAAGAAAGATAACTGTGATTCTTAGAATTGAATGCATATTTAAACTCATTTGATATTATAGCTCAAGGGAAGAACATTTTGAATTTGTTTGCTCCTCTTGAATTTCTTAATAAACATTCTTTTCCTCAATACAGGTGAAATATACACGTCCGACAGCACTGGATCAGATGAAACTGGTGATGGGACAGCAGAAAAGCCTTTCAAATCTGTCCTTCAGGTAATTCTTACATGTACTTTCTTTAGTAATTCTAAGACAGGCCATGTGCATGCATCGTTGTTCAGTTTTGATTACTTGTAAATCTTATATTTGTAGCTGCCATAATTATTATTATTGTTCTCAAGGGTTTGTAATTTTAGATGTTGACATCTTTCAAACTGATGTAGCTATTTTTATCGCATAAACTAAGACACAGGAACATAACAAAGCCATGTAATAATAACACTATCATAACACTTTGACATGATGTCATTTTCGTTATATACAAACATAGCGTAAAAGCCCACTAATGTTAGCGTCACACTAGAGTGGCATCAATAAAAAATGGCTATTTTCAACCATAAACCATTCTTATTTTTGACATGTGATAAATAAAATATATTTCTGCAGATTCAATACTAAATTTATTGAACTTGTTCAATCAAACAATATTATGCTCGCCAGAGGCTAGCAAATTGATTTTATTCAATAAATTTAGTATTAAACCTACACTCATTCAAATCTTCTATGTTTTTAGTCTAACATGGATCTTATACCTGTATCCAGCTTATTTTGAATATACTTATGTTGGCCTAGTGCTAAATTATCAGCCTAGGCAAGTTCTGATAGTCAATAGTAAATACTCGGAGGAGTCACATGTTACCTAAATATTCCTCTAGATTTTCAAATTCACCTGATTACTTGTTCTATTATTTCAGGCAATGAAGCATGCAGGGAAAGAGCCTTTTCCAACCATATATGTTGATGGGAAAGAAGAAGGCAAGGTGGGTTTAATTTGAAGCTTTCATTTGTTTTTCATTGGTTTAAACCATAATCTGCCAACACCAAGAGTTATTGCCCTTTGCAACCAGTATAGAGCCAGATTAGCCTGCTTCTAATTTTTCAGTCTGACCAGGCTCTATACTGTTGTGTTGGTAGCTCAGATTTTGTTCTTTGATATTCAAATTTCTTTAGTTTAAAATGAACTATTCCAAATTGTAAACAGGGCAATTCAATTTTATAAAAATACAATAGCCTATGGGTTAATTTGGAGTTAAAAGCATTTAAACTCTTTTCATGTTGAAAAATAGATTGATCTAAAAAATTTCA